AATAAATAAATAAATAAATACAGGAGAAGCAATAAAATTCTAAAATCAGACTTTGTTATTACCACATAAGCCTGAAAGTTCATCTGTTTGTTGGTCTAAGCCCCTTCTGCTTTTAAATCAATGGGTTCCCTATTACCTGGGCTACAAACAGAACTCTCCTCCAAATACAGAGTAGTAATTAGAAAATACAAATCTGATCATCCTGATGATCAGATGAGCTATCGTATACTAAAAAAGTACTAATTATACCTACAATTCAACATAACACAACAAAAAAGCCCAAGCCAAATATGCCGATAAGGACTTGAATAGACATTTTTCAAAAAGAAAAGATACATAAATAACTAAGAAGCATATAAAAAGATAGTCAACCTCACTAGTCATTAGAAAAATACAAATGAAATCATCATGAAATAGTACTTCCACTACTGGAATGAATAGAATAGAAAAGTGTTGATAAAGACATGGAGAGCTAAATGCCAGTGAATCATGACTGCAATATTAGCTACTGAGGAGGCTGAGATCTGAGGATCTTGGTTCAAAGTAGAGCTGCTCTCAACTGGCAGAACACTAGCCTTGAGCAGAGATAGCACCAAGGCCCTGAGTTCAAGCTCCAGGACATGCACCAAAGAAAAAATCTAGAGAAAACAGAATCCTTATAAACCACTAGTTGGAACATAATGGTGCAGCTTCTAGGGAAATCAGCGTACCAGTTCCTCCCAAAAGTTAAAGATAGAATTATGATGTAATCCTAGGCATACACTGTAAAGAACTAAAAGCAGGGATTCTGGTACTTATTAGTCAATATTCTTTTGGCTAGTAGCCAAAAGTTAGAAGAAGAAAATGCCTATTGATGTGGAAGAATTCGTGGGCAAAATATGGTATATACATTCACTAGAATATTATTCAATCCTCAAAAGGAGGCAGTTCTAACATCTTGTCACATGGAGGAACTTCAAGATACTATGCTAAATTAAATCAGCCAAACACAAATGGACAAATGGCTATTTAATCTCACACACATGAGATACTCAAGGTAGACAAATTCAGAGACTGAAATAATAGTGACTAACACACTTGGAGCATGGAGGAATGGGGAGTTAGTGCTAAACAGGTATACAATTGTTGTTTGTGATGACAAAAAGAAAACTTTCTGGAAATTGATAGAGAAGATAGTCAAACAACATTGTGACTATAATTAACTACGCACTTAAAATGCTAAAATTGTGTTATGTTATGAATATGTTTGCGTAGCAAAATGTTTAAAAATAGCCTGGTGCTGATGGCTCATGTCTGTATTCCTAGTTATTCAGGAGGCTGTGATCTGGGGATCGCGGTTCAAAGCCAGCCTGAGCAGAAAAGTCCATAATACTCTTATCTCCAATTAATTACTAAAATGCTGGAAGTAGAACTGTGGCTCAAGTGGTAGAGAACTAGCTTTGAGCAAAAAGCTCAGGGACAGTGCCCAGAGGAAATGTCATTTCCTCTTAAAACTCCTCAACGGCTCCCCATTGGTTCCTGATCAATTCCCTACAATTCAGCTGTGTATGGACTTTTCCCACGCATATTTTCTCTGTCTTTCCTTCTGGATGCATATGTTCCAGGCAAAAGAAACAGTATGATATTCCCATCATGCACTGCTCTTACTGGCAAGGGTCAGTTTCAGGGATGCAATTCTCAGTTCCCTTCATTCAGCTGGAAACCCCTTTCTCATGAATCATAGCTTAGCCTTGTCTAGAAGACTTGTACAAACATCCATCCCCACAGTCTACCAGGGAAATGGTTTCTCTCTCTCTCTCTCTCTCTCTCTCTCTCTCTCTCAAGCTTCCCAACTTTCCCCATGTAGATCCTTATCACAGACAATATAACATTTAACACACTAGTTTATTTATAGGTCTGTTTTCCTGTGTTGTATCAGGGAGGCCACGTAGAGCCTTTGTCTTATTTATGTAGCCTGGTTTTAAGATCACTGGCTATAGTTATGTGACCTTGGGTAAAAAAATTAAATATTTTTAGATCTAAACTTCATCCTCTATACAATGGGAATAATAATAGTTTCTGGGTCATACATTAGTTATGAGGAATAAATGAAATCAGAGCATCTGATACACAATAAACAATAAAATGTTTGGAGAGGAAGCATATAACTAGCAACAATTGTCCAGTGGTTTGAAGGTTGAACATTGAAGGCCAAGAGTTGAAAGAAGAATAAATAATCTAATCCCAGACATATTTATTTAGAAAGACATATGGAAAAGTACAGTGAGTTTTTAAAAGAATAAAATAGTTTCTTTTAGCTATGTACTATAATACAGTCAAAACACTTTGACAACTTTTCCAAGTTTCATATTTCTGCCATATACTCAATCATTTGGTATGGTCCAGTCAGATCCTGCTGTAGCAGTTCTTATAACTACAAAGTATTGTGCTCTTGGAAAGTAAAAACAAAGCAAAACTGGACACTGGTGACTCATGCCTATAACCCTAGCTATTTAGGAGGCTGAGATTTGAGCATCATGATTCCTTCCAAGCCAGCCCAAGCAGGATGGTTAATTTAATTGACCAGCAAAAAGCTGGAAGTAGAGCTATGGCTCAAGTGGTAGAGTGTTAGCTTTGAACAAAAAAAAAAGTTAAAGCTGGGGGATAATGGCTCATATCTGTAATCCTAGCTACTCAGGAGGCTGAGATCTGAGGATTGCAGTTCAAAGATAGCCCAGGAAGAAAAATCAGTGAGACTCTTTATTTCTAATTAACCACCCAAAATCTGGAAGTGGAGCTGTGGCTCATGTGGTAGAATGCTATTCTTGAGCAAAAGAAGCTCGGGGCAGTGCCCAGGCCCTGAAGTCAAGCCTCAGGACTGACAAAAAAAAGCCAAAGGTCAATGCCCAATCCCTGTGTTCAAGCCTGAAAGAGATGGGGAAGGGAAGAGGGGAGAGAGAAAAGGGAGGAAGGGAGGGAAGAAAAGAAGGAAGCAAAGAAGGAAGGAAGGAAGGAAGGAAGGAGAGAAAGAACTGAACAACAAAGGTTACTACAATTGTCAAAGCAGTACTTCTTTGAAGAACTGAAGGTGGTCCTTGTATAGACTTTGGAGAATTCTAGAATCCATTTTCTATAGTGGTACATTTATAAAAAATTTTTACAACTACATTTACTCCAGAGATTAAGTCAGTAAGTAATTCTTTCTCTAAACCAGCCTGGCTTTAGGTGTGAATTCTTATTTTATTAGTAAATAGTAGGGCATTTCAAAGAATGGCTGGCTTGTGCAGTGGAGAGAAAGCATTATGTGACATATGCACATCATTTCTTACAAGGTAAAGACACACCATTGGTCAACATTGCCAGTGTCCCCCTGGTAACAGTCCCAGGTTTCCATGCAGTTCCATTAAAGCTGCCTCAACACCCAGCACTAGGGTGTGAACCCCAGGATGGAGCATGTGACCTAGGCCTAAGCCACTGGCATGTCTCCTTTCCCTGTCCATTGATGATCATTACCCTTTATGAGTTAGTCAGAGCCTATGGGATGTAGAGACATTTCCCACTACATATGCTGTAAAGAAGTGAGACTTGTCAGCAACAGTGGCTCATGCCTATAATCCTAGCTACTCAGGAGGCCAGCATTTGAGAATCAAAGTTCATAGCCAGCTCTGGTAGAAAAGTCCATGAGACTCTTATCTCCAATTAATCACCAAAAAGCTACAAGTGCAACTATGGCTCAAGTGCCAGCCTTGAGCAAGAGGAAGAGGAGGAGGGGGGAGGAGGGGGAGGAGGGGGAGGAGGGGGAGGAGGGGGAGGAGGGGGAGGAGGGGTGGGGGGGAAGAAGAAAAGTCTACCTTAGAACATAAGATAATGAATGGGTTCAAGAAACCATTTTGAGTACCCATAAGACTCCGGGCTGAGATCAACACAATGGAAGGAAGAGAAACATGAGCAGGTGCTAATGATACACTGGAGCTCTGGATGGGGCTACGCCTAAAGCTAGACTCCTCTTTTCAGCTTCTGTGAGTTAAGAGATTCCTTTGTGACTGATAAGCCAGTATGGGTTGGGTTTTCTGTGATTGCAACTAAATAATCCCAACTGGTATTCATCAGAGCCACTTTTCCCAGATGGGAGCACCATACACTGATTCTGTACAAAAGATAAGTGATTTCTCTAGAGAATTCTCTGAGGCTGAATCGGGGTATAAGGAAATCTCTCCTTTGGGGAAGCCTGTGGTCTCATTTCTGTGTAGGCCAGGAAACTCCTATAAATTTCACCTGTTGACACATTTTCTTTGCAAGCATTTGTGCTACTTCAGGGGAGAGGGGCAGGAAACAGAGGTGGAGAAGGGAGGGCATGAGGCAAAGTATAAATAATTGCGCAGGAAGCAATATAGCTGATAGCCTTTTAGCAGAGGCTGGCATGTGGGTAGATGTGGTATGAACTCACTGTAGAGGAACTAATCCAGCAATGTTATCTGATCTGGAAGAGCAAGAAAAAAAAAGAAAGAAGAAAAGGAGAGGAGAGGAGAGGAGAGGAGAGGAGAGGAGAGGAGGGGAGAGGAGAGGGCAAGGAAAAGGAAAAGGAAAAGGAAAAGGAGAGGGGAGGGGAAGGGGAAGGGACCTCTCTTCTGTTCCCTCATTTGATAGGTCTGAAAGCCCTTTACATGTCAAGCTAGCTGGTATTCCACACAGGAATCCTGATTACAGACTGTGCTAATGTAGAGAGCATGGTTTCCTTCTAACCATCAACCGTCAGTTCTGGCAGCTGGATTTTTGTTTTGTGAAATGCAGGGCAAGTTCTGGATTGAAAACAAAGGTCAAGTACGTCAATGTTGATGGTAATAAGGTAGGGAGTTTCTCAAGTCTTTCTGAGTAATGTAGGCTGTGGTCATGGAGTGTGGGAAGGAGAAGGTTTTAGGAGCAGGCGATCGCTTTCAGGAAAAGACAGAGGCTGAATCAAGATCTTCCTGTGATCCAACTTTGGTAGCAGGGCCTGTTTCAGAGCTTGTTCCCATCCCTACCTGTTTCCCATGGACCTGGACAAGTTTATTTATCCCTCTGAATTCGTTTCCTCTTCTGTAAAGGTGAATTCGTTTCTTGAGATTAGTAAATTAGTTAATTTCCACGAAGACTGGCACAATCCATAGTAAGAAGTCAAATTACAGTAGAACACTTATGCACATTTCAGTCTGAAAATACCACCTGGAAAATTACAGAAATAAACAACTCTTTTCGCTTAAATTGCACACTGTTCTAGGGAATGTATTGATAGCTCTCTCCTCCTGCTTCTTCCTGCTGTGACATGAGTCATCCTCTCTCCAGTACGTCTACACTGTTTGCTTCACTCGCCCCTTAGTCATTAAGTAGCCATCTTGGTTTTCAGATGGACTGTTGTGGCATTGTAATATTTTCATTTAGTTTCCTTACCTTTATTTTACTGAGTAATGGCCTCAAAGTGCAAGACTATCAATAATAGCCATTTTTATTGCATTATATGACCATAATTTTTCTATTTTACTTGTACTGTGACTAATTCATAACTCCACTATCATCCTGGGTGTGTATAGGAAAACATATAAGATATGAATAATTCAGGATTATCTACAACTTCAGGCATTCACTGGGGGTCTTGGAATGTGTCCCTGTGGATTTGGAGATCTAATATCAATGGCAAAACCCAGTGTCAGTTCACCTTGGAGTCATAGTAAGTACCAGGCAATGGGTATAGATATTGAGGCCTTGTTATCACTTGCCAGCATGAATTTATCTTATTCTCACTTTACCTTAGTGTGATTTTCTGCAGAATACCACGTGAAAAATACCAGTTCAAAGCCAAATTTCTGCATTTTTCCAAGCTTTGATAAGCTCCTTCAGCACATCTTGTTCGTGATGAATAGCTCGCTCTATGGCAGATTTAATAGCTATAAAAGATTAAGTAGATACAAAGATTTTTCATTGGATTATCAGCTGCTCAAAAGCCAGATTTAGGTCATAACCCTCTATGTAGTTCAATTATATAGTAAACACTCAAAACAATGAACAAAAGTTTAAACTTACACCAAAAAAAAGAGTACATCAACATAGGGAAATATACTTATCATCATTATTATACTTATTATTATATTCTATTATTATAAAGATACTTTATGCCAAGATAACAAAGTTATGTTAAGATAACATTATTTGGCTTATTTTTTTGTCAGTCATGGGGCTTGAACTCTGGGCCTGGACACTATCCCTCAGCTCTTCAGCTCAAGGTGAGCACTCTACCACTTGAGCCACAGTACCACTTATGATTTTCTGAGTTGTTTATCGTAGATAAGAGTCTCATGGAGTTTCCTGCCCAGGCTGTCTTTGAACCTCGATTCTCAAATCTCAGCATCCTGAGTAGCTAGGATTACAGGCGCCAGCCACCAACACCCAGCTAGCATCATCTTATATAGTCATATGTATATAGCTTTTGAGCTTTTCTGCTCATCTGATAAGATTATCCTAGATGTATACTAATTATTACAAATAAGGGAAACCATGGGACCTATGTTTCTTTGTGTCGGGCTTACTTCACTTAAAATGATTTTTTTCCAAGTCTTTCCACTTCCTAAAAAATGGGGTGGTATCATTCTTTCTGACAGAAGGATAGAATTCCATTATATATGTAGATATATATATACATATATATGCCACATTTTCTTGATCCATTCATCTATTGAAGGGCATCTGGGTTAGTTCCATATCTTAGCTATGGGTGAATAATGCTGTGATAAACATAGTTGTGCTGGTAGCTTTAGTATGGCCTTGTTTGTGATTGTTTGGGTAAATGCCCAGAAGTGTGGAGTCTTTGGGAAACTTCCATACTGCTCTCCAGAGTGGTTGAACAAGCTTGCACTCCAACTAACAGTGCAGTAGGGCTCCCTTTTGGCCACATTCCCTCCAGCATCTGTTGTTATTAGATTTCTTGATTATAGCCATTCTAACTGGGGAGAGGTGGAATCTCAATGTTGTTTTGATTTGCATTTCTTTTATGGCTAGAGAAGTTGAGCATTTCTTCATGTGTCTATTGGCCATTCTTATTTCCTCTTCAGAGAAGTTTCTCTTTAAGTCTGTAGCCCACTTATTTTTTTAATTTTATTTTATTGTAAAGATGCTGTACAGAGGGGTTACAGTTACATGAGTAAGGTAATGAGTTCATTTCTTGTCCAGCATCGTTACCCCTTCCTTTCTTGTTCTCCACTATCCCTTCCCTCCCCTACTTCCCTTACTCCCCACCCAAAAGTTGTAAAGTTCATTTCTAACATCCTGTCTTGTGAGTATCATTGTTGCAATTGGTCATCCTGTGTCCTTGTTTCAGCATTTTGTTATTCTTCTTCCCCTCTCCAAATGTATATTCAAGATACAGGGTACCAAAATCAAGTACAGTGACAACAGGTGTAGTCCACTTATTAATAGGGCAGTTGTTTCTTTGAAGATTTGTTTTGGGGGTTTTAATTTTTTGAATTCTAGGTATATTTTAGATATGAAGCCCTTGTCTGTTGTAAGATGATGCTAAGTGAAATGAACCCCAAGATATGGACACAGGAGTTTTTCCTTTGTTGTTGGGGCTTTTAATATACTATGTGATTTTTGTTTTTTTTGTATGTTCTTCCCCCTTTGGTATATCCCTTGTTGTTACTGTATTTGATTTTGGTATCCTGCATCATATATATATATATATATATATATATATATATATATATATAATTTGGGGAGAAGAGGAATAACAAAATGCTGAAACAAGGACACAGCATGACCCATTGCAACAATGATACTCACAAGACACTATGCTGGAAATGAACTCTACAACTTCGTGGGCAGGGAGGAGGGGGGAGGTGGAGACGGTAAGGAATAGAAGGAGAAAAACAAAGGAGGGGGTAACAATGCTCAATAAGAAATGTACTCATTACCTTACTCATGTAACTGTAACCCCTCTGTATAGCATCTTTACAAAAAAATAAAATTTTTAAAGAAAGATAACATCAGTCATTAGGGAGACTCAACATATTGCAGCACCTCTATTAGAATGACTGAGATTATAATTATTGGTGAAGCTATAGAGGAAACAATGTGTCTTGCTAGTATGTCAATCTAAAACGCTACAACCCAATGAAAAACAGTTAATTGATTTCTTAACTACATCAATACTGCTGGGCATCAATGGCTCATGCCTATAATCCTAGCTACTCACGATGCTGAAATCTGGAGGATCAGGTTCAAAACTATCCCAGACAGAAAAGTTCACGAGACTTTATCTTCAATTACCCAGAAAAAAGCTGGACTAAAGGCATGGCTTGAATGGCAGAGTACCAACCATAAGCAACAAAGCCAAGTGAAAAATTGAAGCCCAGAGTTCAAGCTTTTAAAACAAAGCTTAAGGACTGGAATGTGGCTTAGTGGTAGAGTGCCTGCCTAGCATACATGAAGCCCTGAGTTCAATTCCTCAGTACCACATAAACAGAAAAAGCCAGAAGTGGTGCTGTGGCTCAAGTGGTAATGTGCTAATCTTGAGCAAAAAGCTTAGGGACAGTGCCCAGGCCCTGAGTTCAAGTCCCAGGACTGCCCTTCCCCACAAAAATAAAAGAAGATAAAACAAAGCTTAAATATATAATGCCTTTATGACCCATGCCTCTTGCCTCTAGACAATTACACACATAAAAGAAAGACTTAACAGCCAGGCCCGGTGGCTCACATCTGTAATTCTAGCTACTCAGGAGGCTGAGATCTGAGAATCACAGTTCAAAGCCAGCTTGGGCAGGAAAGCCCATGACACTCTTATCTCCAATTAACCACCAGAAAACCGGAAGTGGCACTGTGGCTCAAGTGATAGAGCACTCTTCTTGAGCTGAAGAGCTGAGGGACAGTGCCCAGGCCCAGAGTTCAAGCCCCACAACCAACAACAACAACAAAAAAGACTTAAGAAACAATGTACATGCACAAATAAATGGATAAGCAATAATATTCCTATTCTTATGATAAAATATTACTCTTGCATAAAAAGGAATGAACTCTAAAGAACACTTAAAGCATGGATGAATCTCACGAAAGAAGCCAGACTCAAAAATAATGATGTATGTACTATATAATTTATTTCATAACAAATTAATGTATTATGCAGAAATCAGCCCAAAGTAAAGACAAGAAGAGATGAAGTGAGATGAGGGTCAGAGACGGGATTCAGGAAGGTCCAAAGAGTGATGGATACTGTTACTATTGTGATTATGGTGGTGGCTTTGTGTATGTGCAAATGTGTGTGTAAATTAGTAAATTGTACACTTTTAAATGTGCAGGTTTTGTGCATCAATTCTATTTCAATTTGAAAAAAGATATTCTCAATACTATTTTTCTGGATAATGGGCAGAACAGAAATTTCTGGTCAAGTAGAAATTTCCTTTGCATATAGTTTCTTCCTGGTATTTTGCTGTTGCTCTAGGCTTGATGTGGTGTATCCCCCAAAGGGTCATGTGCTGGAGGCTTAGTCCTCAGTGTGGCAGTGTGGACACAGTGGTACATTTAAGGAGTGGGGCCGAGTGCAAGGTAATGATGTCATTGCGGATGTTGGCCTTGGAGTGGATTAGTGTGGGTCTTGCAAGGTGAGTTAGTTCTTGATAGGATGGATTGCTATAAAGTAAGGCCATCCCACAACACTTGGTTCCTTGTGCATGCTATTTCCCTTTCTACCTGTTTGCCATGGTATGACATAACTGGAGAGATTCCCCACTAGAAGCTATAAAGATAGAGCTGTCCAAATTTAGATTTTAAGCTTCCAAAGCCTCTTTATAAAATCCTCAGCCTCAATGACTTTGTTACAACAAAACAGCAATACAACTCTCAAGTTCTGGGGGATGGTGGACCAGGAAGCAGAAGGCTACAGAAGGAAGATTCTTGATAAAATTTAAGATGATGATGTGAAACTTCCACCCTAGCTTCTGGCTCATTATTTTCTCCACCACCAACCCTGACTGTACTTCTGGTCCTGGTTCCTTACAGTGAATATATCCCATCCTGCATTACTCCATCAAAACCTTGCTCTTATTAACAATCCACAGCACCAATTGCCAATGACCTTGCTCGACAGCCAGACTGGGCCCTGACTGTTAGATACTCCATCTGCTTAAGCTCTTCTGGAGTTGTACCCTCCCTTCTCTACCACTCCCCCATTCAGCCTACTGAGCAACTTTCTAGGTAAGCTGGTACTGACCTGGTTTACTGGATTAGCTCCCTTTCTCTATCATTTCCAATGGACTGAGAAAAGTTACTGTGACTATGTCCCATTGAAACTTGCTTAAACTATCTCTCCAGTATTTTATAAGCACCAGTGGAACTTTCTCCTGTCAAAAGTCATTGGAAAGATGTAACCAAGCCTAGGCCCTCCTGCAGCTGCTGAGTTCCCTCCCAACAGCACACAGCATGTTTGGGTAAAACTTTCCAATCTTCTTGGTGAAAGGCTGGGATATATAAAGGCGTCATGAAGGAATTCCACAGAGCTTGGCAGGATTATTTTAAGAATTTTATCCATCCACTTCAAGTCATTTCTTCTGTTGATCTTTAGGATTACTTCAGAAACAGCTAAGGCTTTTGCTGATTTATCCCAGCATACTATCCTTGTTGGGACATGGTTATGTAGTATTGCAAATGCAAAGGGATTTTTTTTCTCTTTTTTTTCTTTTGCCTCTGACTGGCTCAAAGTGGGATCCCAGAACTAAGTATCCAATAAGCCTAAGTAAGAATGGGAAGATTTAAAGATTATAATTGATTCTCATAAACCCAGTTCTCCTGAACTGCCAGTGATTTTCATCTTCATCGCTCTTCAACTACACTCCGAAATGGGAAATATGTCTCCCATCCACCCTTCATTTAGAGGTAAGATTTTTTTCTTTTTTGCAAGAGC